AAAAGTGCTTCCGGTGAGCTTTCTACCCGGAAAAGCTCACCGGAAGCACTTTTTCATCAAAAAAAGATGGCGGCGCCCAGCAACCAGCGGCCCGGTAGGACTTGTTCCGCGGACCGGTACCTGCTTTAAAGGGTTAAAAAGATTTCTAGGGAATAAATATGTCAGTTTTGTTGGCTATAATGGTGAAAAATAAGGTTTGCTTGTCAAGAGGCAATATGCCAGATTAGTTCTGCAACAGACCTGTATATTTTTCCAGGATATTTAGTTAACTTGTCAAATTATCAAACCCTGAAATAAATTATTTTTTTCTATTGAGCTGGGACAAAAATGGCTTTGTATAATATTTTTTTCTAGACTTGCTTTTTCATCCACTCCCTTTTTTCTCCCTCTAGGAAAGCCAAGCTTCTGCTAAAGAAGAAGCGTTATGAAGAGCAATTGTTAGACAAAACTGAAAACCAAATTAGCAATTTAGAGCGCATGGTATGTGGGATTGAGTTTCTGATTGCATCTGCTCATTTGATTTTCAGGATTTCTGAAGTGTGGCTTACATGTAAATTTCTGTGTTTAGTTTAATGCACTTTTAATATAAGAGGATTTCTTTAACTCAGGATTCACATTGACTTTTATGATGGAATGCTGTGATTTAAGCTTCATTTAGGAGTACTGTATATACTCACAGATAAGCTGACCCTCAACATTTAGTCCAAATACCATGAAAAATATGTCACCCTCAGATAAGCCAACCCTTGGATTTTTTAACCAAGATACTGCTAAATATTTGACTGCTATTTGTGGATGTGATAGTGTTTTAAAAATCTGAGCTGTGGTTCACAGGTAAGCCAAACACAATTTTGGGGTGTATTTTGATACCTAAAATTCTCAGCTTATCCGCAAGTATATATGATACCCCTGCGCTTAGCACAAGTATATATTGCTTGTCTTGAGAATAGAATGATAGCTTTGAACAGCATTATTTGCTTTAACGGTCACATGATGTTGACGGAACTGTCCCTCATTCCATCTTTTTTTGTTGCTCATCCAATCCTCTTATCCAACTTGTCGCAACTGTAATGTCCCTGCATTTTAAGGCGGGTTGATAGCGTATACGTTCATGTGTTTGCATGCCTTTTTGCAAGAAAAGGGGAGAGGTAGAGCAGAGGTGGTATTCAGCAGGTTCTGACCAGTTCTGGAGAATCAGTAGCAGAAATTTTGAGTAGTTTGGAGAACCGGCAAATACCACCTCTGACTGGAGATTTTACATTACCCTTCCCCTGCCGCCCCCATCAAGCCACGCCCACAGAACCAGTAGTAAAAAAATTTGAATCCCACCACAGGTAGAGGCATCAGAAATTAATTTGAAGAACTTGTAGTCCTAGTAATTCATTAGACACAGATTCATACAGAGAAGTTACATAACTTAGATTTCTCCTGCTTTTATTACTGACATAGCAAGATTCTCATTTACTAAGGAAATGCTACTTATTTTGCTTGGTGCTTTACTGTCTATGGATACCATGTAGACCATATCTGGGCTTTTTACAACCCCCAGCCTACATCTGGTCCTTTTGCTGTCACTGACTAGCCCACATGAATTGCTTTTATTTTGAAGACAACTGCTGTTTTTTTTTTTTGTTTGTTTGTTTCAATTTAAGTACGTGTGCCCTTCCATGGATATACACCTTCATAGCCCTATTGGTTTGACCTTGCACAATAATCCCAGTCCCTGGTATGGCTCCTTGGGAAAATGTAATTGCCCAGTCTTGCTGTAGACTATCCAAGTGTACAAACTGTCAGCCAGTGAAACAGGCTGCCACTGGCTGCCTTCTGTCCGCTAGAAGTCATCTTCCGGTTGCTTTCCTTAACACATAAAGATAGAACACGGCATTCTGTGATCCTTGTTCTTCTCTCTTACAGGTCCACGATATTGAATTCACACAGATTGAGATGAAAGTGATTGAGGGTCTCAAAATTGGCAATGAATGTTTAAATAGAATGCACCAAGTGAGTATGATCAGAGATGCCCGCCCTCTCTTAAAATTGCATCCCATTGCCAGTCGTCTTGTTGATGCAAAATTGTGGGGTTCTCTTACAGGTTATGTCAATAGAAGAGGTGGAAAGAATCATGGATGAAACCCAGGAGGCTGTAGAGTACCAGAGGGTATGTATGGGTTGCACGGTCCCTTCTACAGGGCTTGGTGCAAGGCGTTGTGTTTTTATGACTTGCATTTCACCCCTTCACTCCCTTGGATTTTTAACATACTTGTTTACATGTAGTATAAAGTACCTTGCCATATTATCTGGAAGTGTGTATTACATTAGTCCTGAGTATCCGAAGCTGAAACTCAAGATAGGTACAATTGTTCATATGTTTTTGATGCCAGTGAAGGGGAACTGAAATGTTTGAGATCTGTTACTTCCTGGTGTTCACTGAGCCATCTGCCTTTTTTTTTTTTTGCAGCAAATAGATGAGATATTGTCTGGAAGTTTCACTACAGAGGATGAAGATGCTATTTTAGCTGAATTAGATGCCATCACTCAGGTAAGCACCAATTCCCAAGTCAGGGACTTTAGTTCAGGAGTTGTATTTTGAAGGGGTATCTTTTATGAGGAAGCAGCATTTTTATCCAAAATATTCAGATTACAAGTCGTCCTTGACTTAGGACCACAATTGAGCCCAAAATTCCTGTTGCTAAACGAGAGTTAAGTGAATTTTGCCCCATGTTTCTTGCCACAGTTGTTAAGTGAATCATTGCAGTTGTTAAGTTAGTAGCATGTTAGCTGTTAAGTGAATCTGGCTTCCCCATTGACTTTGCTTGTCAGAAGGTCGCAAAAGGGGATCGCCTGACCCTAGGACATGGCAACACTCATCACTATGAGCTAGTTGCCATGCATCCAAATGTTGATCACAGATCCATAGGGATGCTGCAACAGTCATAAGTGTGAAAATTGGTCGTAAGTCACTTTTTTCAGTGCTCCTTGTAGCTTAGAACAGTCACCAATGAACTGTTTGAGGACTGCCTGTATATCATTTGCATTAACCTTCTGAATCTTCAAAGATTCATCTTGATCCCTCAAGATTCATTTTAAATAGAAGGATAGAATATTTTCCATTTATTCTTGGATTTTCCAAAATTTGGTCCTTTACTCTGGGATAATTAAGCTTTGTTTCCTCAATAAGTAAGCATTCATTCATATGAGTGCCAGTATGCTGCATTTTGCATTCATGTTAGAAATAGATGGGAAACATCTATTGTTAACAAAAATAATTAATACTTCATTATGATCTTGTGCAGAGAGGAGGGCAATAAATATCTCGCTCCAGTAATTAAAATTCAAGGTAGAAAATTCTAGTTGTTAGGATAATAATGATGGAATTATATGTTAAGATGAACTGGAAAGATATTTGGAAAGGAATATGGAAGATATTGGGGATTGTAATTACCTTCATGAATTCAAAAGCAATTCAAAAATCAGAACTAGAAAAAAGTGTGATCCCTCTTAAGATTAGGAGCTTTTTCAATTCTGATTCTTCTTTACATGTTTTAACTGACCAAAGAAGAAGTTTGCCATACTGACAGCAAAATAGTGTAGTCCTTAAAGCTGATGACATATTTCTATCAGTCTTTATTACAATGAATAATGAACTTTAACCCAGAACCCTTAAGTATTTTTATAGGTTGCTGATAGAACTTAGCTCAAGAAAATTCAAATAAATAATCTGGCCGCATTAGGTTTTTTATTATTATTATTATTATTATTATTATTATTATTATTATTATTATT